GGTCTTCCTCTCGGCCGCTACGACAGTCCCGTCATTTGCGAGTGCGAGGGCCTCAACCGCCACATCGCATTTATCCGCCGCGGGGGAGATGATATGACAGGTCATGTCGTGGCCACCGCCAAGCCCGGTATTTACATCGGAACTCTTACACTTCCATCACCTTTTGGGATGCCAACAGCGACAGAGAGAACCTTCGCCATCAAAGACATTCGGAGAGTATCCAAAATGACTCCAAAAAGAATCAAGTTCGTCGATGGCGCCAGCAAACTCCTCACCCATACCTCACGAAAGGCGTCAGTTATCGATATCTCGGGCGAGCCCGACGAGAATGGAGAATATCCCGCCGAGACTCTGGCCGAAGGGAAAATGTCTACAGAGCTCGTCGTGACCCCACGAATGCTGAATAGCGTCAAATCTAGCACGCACATGCGCACAGCACCAGCGAAAGTCGGGCACGCCGCTTTCGTCGATTTCTTCCAGATTTACGTCGCGGACGGTACTGCAGTCGATAAACCGTTATGGAGCAAACCTGGCCTAAACGCTACGCGTGGGCTCGCTAGGGTTAGCTTAGACGGTGGGCATGATTTGACGTGGTCGAGAGACGGCAGCACTCTTTTCTGGTTCTTGGGTACGTTGGTACTGGACTTTCGAGGCTCTCGGAAAGCTAACCGGCATACGACTTGCGTAGGTCCTTACCTCCACTCGCTCAAGATCGATCAGCTGAAGCACTGCCGATCTGCCATTCAAGGCGACCCATCTACTTTTGGAATCGACTGCGTCCGACAATATGTCAATGTAACGGAGGTGCATGCGTACCACCAAAGCGAGAGTAGACGACTGAGCGATGATGCTTTCGACGTTGCTCGTCGGGAGACAAAGGGCAAGGTCGATCCGTCGCAAAGCCATGCTGATATCCTGGTAATCATCAACGCCACCCTTGTCACCATGGCTACCGGCAGTGAAGCGAACGATATCGTTCACGACGGAACCATTATAATACAGGGGGGTGTTATTCAACTCGTTGGAAGGAGCCTCGTAGCTCCGCAGGGAGCCAAGGTCATTGATGCTCAAGGAGGGGTCGTCGTCCCTGGTTTTGTCGACGTTCATGCTCACTGGAATGGGGCGGATACGGTCGCATCCTCGTGGGAGCAATTGGCTTTCCTCGCCTATGGATGCACCACGATGCATAAGTGAGACCATTTCTTTCTTGCATTCGTCTAAAATCTATTGACATATTCGCTGATATTTTGCTCGCAGTCCGTCCTCTGACACTGTGGATACGTGGACCGAGAGGGTTCGGGTTGAAAGCGGATTAATGATTGGTCCCCGCATCTTCACAACTGGGACCATCATCTACGGGGCAGGAGCGGCGAGCTATCATCAAGACATTGCAGACGACGCTGAGGCCCGATCGGCTCTTATCCGTTTGAAGGTGGAAGCGGGACCTTACGCCTTCTCGTACAAGAACTACAATATCCCTTCTCGGTAAATGCAAAATCACTCCATTCCTCGAGACAGACAAACTAACCGCTTTCATTAGTGCTTCCCGCCAACGCCTCATCAAGGTGGCGAAGGAGCTGGCAATGAACGTATATCCCGAAGGTGGGATGAACTTTGACTGGGACCTGACGTACATCATCGATGGTGAGAGAGCTACGCGCTCTAAACAACGATACTTTTAGACTCAAGCTTGTTTCCCACTCAGGAATGACCACCGTCGAGCACTCTCTTCCTATACCGACGCTGTACGACGACATTTTGACTTTGTTCTCTGCAAGTGGGACTGGGAATACACCGACGCATATTGTGAATTATGGAGGCATATTTGGCGAGGATTACGTCTGGGTACGTTTCGTGGGTGGTAAATTCTGGTGTTGCGGCTTACACGACAAGCACAGGCCCATGAATCGCTGCCCTTTGATGACAAGTATGACCATTAAGCCTCGGGGGGAGAGCGCAAGTTAACCACGATTTTTAGGCTGCGACGCTTTGTTCCGCACGGGTATCTCGAAGGCTTATCCCGATCGGTATCCGCGCCCCGCGACTGTACGTCCGAGGTGATAACCTTTCGTCCAGCGTGAACTAACAGGCGTCCTGTAGCATACCAACTCTTTAACACCTCAGCTTCAGTTTACGAGATGACGAAACGCGGACTCAATGGCAATGTCGGGGCGCATGGGGAGCCTCCAGTCGGACTGAATTACCACGAAGAGATGTGGTTCTTCAGCCAAGGCGGAATGACGCCGTACGAGGTTAGACCGATCGCCGTACACCTAAAAACACTACCACTAATGTATAAGCTCACTCTTAGGTCCTGAGATCAGCCACTCGTTCAGGCGCTCTTAGTCTAGGCCTTTTCAGTTCGATAGGTTCTCTACAGGAAGGGAAGCTCGCCGATATGTTGATCTATCCCCCTGGAGCCGCAATCCTGGACGATATCTCCCTTTCGAGGGACATACGATTCGTCATCAAGGGGGGTCGCGTTTGGGATGCTTCAACCATGGAAGAAGAGTGGCCACTGAAGGGCAAACGGCCCAGTTTACCACCTCTCAGCGCAGACTAGTCCAGCAGATAGCGTATATACGAATTTTCCATCTACCTAGGACATCTATTTCCTTACATACGGTCTAGTGGGTTAATACTTAATAGCCTGAGGCCGGCACCCAGAACGTCCCTCGCACAAATGAACAGGAACAACCGTGCCCTCGCCTTTTGCTCGTCGGGTTCGCCTTTGACTATCAGCGTCTCCCAAGCCGAAGCGATCAAATGAGCCAGCTTCATGCAGAACGTGACGACACCACTGGGCTCGTGTCGCTCTTGAGCGGTCTTGACCACATCCGGATAGGTTGCCAGGAGGAAAACAATGTCACGAGCCTTCGCCTCGGAAAGGAGGTCGAACTGGATTTCAGCCGCTGGAGGGAGAGGAACGAGGTTGGGATTCTTTCTCTCCATCGAGGCCAATCTGACGTGGGCGTATTGAATGTACGGGCCTGTGTCGCCTTCGAAGGAGAGCATTCGGCTCCAGTTAAACGTGTAGTTGTTGATCCTAAGGCAAGACGCCGTCAGTCAAGCCCTCCCTACACGGTAAAGTACTTACCGTTTGGCGCTCATATCCTGGATCTTGATCGCGGTGATACCGATCTCTTGGGCTGTCTCCTGGGGATTCTCGATCTGTTTATACTTTTCTTCGTTCGACTGCATCTGCTCGTGCATGACCTTGGCGGCCTCTTCGATGATCTGTTCTAGGAAGACAGCCGTGCCCTTGCGAGTGCTCATTCCTTGAACCATCCCGAAGTTGACGTGCTCGAGACTCTTTGCCCAAGGATATTCGAGCAGTTCAAGCACCTTGAAGAATTGGGCCAAGTGTAGGTCCTGCTGGCTGGCAACAACGTAGATCATCTTGTCGAACTTGTACTTTTCGTAACGTTCGACGGCGCCGCCTATGTCTCGCGTAAGATAGATACTGGTCCCATCTGAATTGTGCGTCAGCATTTCGTTATTTGTTAGGACAGATGCACGAAAAATCTAACGAACCTTTTTTGCGAACAACAGCCTTTCCTAGTTTATATTTCTCGAGGTCAACGATCTTGGCACCGTTCGAATCGGACACAAGCCCCATATCCTCCAACCGTTTCAAGCACGAGTCCTGGCTCTCCTTGCCGACTTGGCTTTCACCGGAATAAATGTCGAAGGCGACGTTTAACCTCTCATACTCTGTCTTGTATCTCTCGATCGACAGCTCGCGCCATTTCCTCCAATGAGAAAGCGCTGACTCGTCTCCGTCTTCCATCCGCTTGAAGTACGCACGAGCGGCGTCGTTGACGGACTCGTCCTCTTCGGCGTCCTTGTTGATTTTGACGTACACGTCGTACAGATGTCGGATGGCATTTTTCTCGAGTTCCTCCTCGCTTCCGTACTTTTCGAAACCGACAGCAATCAAGCCGAACTAAAAGGCGTACCGTCAGCAGGGTGGCACCAGCCTGGGCACGCCAGACGCGAACCTGTCTCCCCCAATCTCCAAGATAGTTTAACGAAGTAACTTCCCAGCCGCACGCTTTATAAACGTTGCAGAGGAAAGCACCGATGATAGTTGAGCGAAGATGGCCGACATGGAACTGTTTTGCGATGTTCGGTGAGCTGTACTCTGGGAGCCCGTCAGTTTTCGGTTTAGGTTCCCCCCGCGAAATGCCACGAACCAATGACCACATTTTTCCCCTTTCCACTTTCATTTGATCCGTATGATGGCTGGCCTGTTGGGGAGTTATTTGTGAAATGGTCGATTGTAGTAAGGACGTTGCGAGTAAGGCTTGTCGTCCGAGCGGTGAATGATAGGAAGGCGCCTTCCGCTTTGACAGATTCGATGTAATCGTCGGCTACGAACTAGGGGAACGTTAGACGGTGGGACAGGATGTCGGTCTGGGGATTGGCAGGGCTCACGGACTCCTCGACTTTCTTCGCCCAAGGATCTGGCTTGCCACCCAATTTGAACCGAGCCACAGCGACGGAGAAGTCGACGCCTTTTCTGCCAATATCGGCAGCCTTGTAAGCGGCTTCCAACGAAACCTCCGGCAGAGCTTTGTTGATGCTGGCCGCAACGGCTATTTTGAAAGCATCCAGGGGCGAGCGTTCTGGATCGGTGCCAGGTATCGACGGTAAGGTGCTGGTTGACATGGCGGACCGGAAGAATCGCGTCGAAGAAGGCCTATAGTACAAGGAGACCCGAGGTCGAACGAGAGTAAATAAGAAAGCCAGCGCGAGTCACGATATCTGATGAGTCTAATCGGTCCAAATTTCAAGGTGCACCCCCGCGCTTGTAGAACGTGGGACTGTGTCGATCGTTCTGTGCTGAAACGTCCGCGAGACAGCGATCGCTTTGCCCAAGATCCGCCTAAGCGAAACTCCTTTACAGGTGAACATGGTCGAGTGAGTAATATTCGATAGTGGTGGATTTTCAACCCGAAAAGTCTACGAGTAAGTTAAAATTCCCGGTCGACGCATCTGGGGATCTAGCTCATCGGTAGAGCGCTCCCTTAGCACCAAGTGGAGAATCCGGGAGTCGAACCCGGATTCAATTCATGCTTGGGAGAGGCGCCGGGTTCGACTCCCTGGTTCTCCATAAGTCTTTTTTGCCCTTTTGGCATCGAGAGATCTATTTCTCTATGAGATACATGCAGTTTTTTTGGGTAGAAAATTATGACCAAGGTCAAAAAGTAGAAAAACTGGCCGTGGGAATTGCTGTCTCTCGACTGCTGCGGCGGCTGGCGGGTTCGACTCCCTGGTTCTCCAAAACTTGATCGCTTTCTTTTCTTTTCTTTTTTTCGTTTTTCTCGCTTACAAAGACCTTTCCGTGTACTCCGACTATAAAGCACCTCTTGCGCATGATTGGATTGGTGACTCTTATCAAGTAGTAGGAGTTAAGGCAGTTCGGGCCAACTCCCGACATCGCAGCCGCCTTCGACCCCACGTTTTCACATTTGCTCGTAGCCCTCGGATTCTAGCTTTTCTTGTTCAACCCGGAAGAGGTAACGGCTTTAGAACACTAGAATTAATTCTGATAATATTTTATCTGAACAAGGCGGCTTTGACTCGACGAATCCTGGAACCGCATGACCGTAAGGTTCTCCACGCCGTGATCAACGAAACGAAGGCCTCGATCCATTGGGTGGTTTGAGGAGAATCTCGAGAGATACCTTTCGATCTCTCCGGGATGCGACGACTGCGCAATTCTCGCTCCCGTCGCTGCCGAAGTAAACGTGCCCTTCACTACGACAGCAAGTATCACGATCGATTTGACTTCACAGCATCGCGCGCAGCTCCCAAGCAGCGAGGAAAAGGATATAAATTGGCAAAGCAAACACCAAGGAACGAAAGAATGTGGCGTCGTGAATCCAGCAGAGGAATAAGGAACACGATAGACGAGACGAAGAAGAAACGAACGAAGGTGTGAATCGGAGCCGAAATGCTCTATACGACGTAGCGAGACCGGGAAAAACTAGTTATGATGAGCCGGGGAGGTATCCAATTAATGTTTAATACTCAAAGCTTGGATAGTATATTTGCAGCGGGCTTTGCGAGCCCAGAATGTTTGCAGAAAAAAAAACTCAGGCGAGCCTAATGCTCCGCATCAACGACGTAAAGCACCTGCTGCGGGCGAACGAAAAGACCGCGGACTTCCGCCGACGTCGAGGTATCGGACATGGCAGGGGAGACGCTTCTGACCCTCTTCAGACGCTCTCGTTCCAGGGATAAAGCGTCTCCTTCCCGCTTCTTTGACAAGCTTCGAGTCGGAACGTCGGAGAGCAGCATGTCGATCCGCCTTCGTCTCGCAGCTCTTTGCTCTCCATCATCCCAACCCGTGATGTTCGAGCTGATCTCAAAGTATCGCGTGCCATTGACGCTGCCGTCGTTCCAGTTCCTGCCAGCGAGTTTCTTCTCCGTCCAGCTTTCGCCAACTGGAACCTCGACCCCGATCCAAGGCCCAGTCTCTCCGTCGACTTCGCCTATGTAGCGAGCGAACGCGCGGAAGCGGGCACGTTTGGACGAAATGATGCAGGGGATGCCGACGTTGAGAGTAACACCTCTTCGGGGGCGCTGAGGTTGGCTGGCTGGGCGCTTGTTCCCCCGAATGGTTCCGTTTGTGGTCATGCTGCCGATCGATTCTCGTATAGTTTCGGAAGAGTTGCGTCGGTGGGACTCCGTAGGTGTATCGACGTCATTGGACGCTCGGACAGTTGAACCACCGTCGCTTCGGGGTTTGGCAATCGAGGTGCGGCGCGATGCCAAATCCTCTTCGTAGCCCTCTGGATAAGCAAATGAACGCCTATCAGGCGTGTCCCTTCCTTTGCCCTTGGCGTCCCCTGAGGGGAACGCCTGGCTGCTGGGACGAGGAGAAACGTCCCCGACGGAAGCAGCATAACTTGGTGGAGGTGGACCGGTTGGCAGCTGAAGGGCCAGAGCATCCTCCGTGAGCGTAGGAGTAGCTGGTTGCACGACGTTTTCGATCCCGGTCTTGTTGGGAAGATCATCGTCTTCGTCCGGATTCTCCGGGTCCTTGGGAGGAACTGGTGGAGGCGCCTCGGAATCGGCCTTGCTCACGGGGCGGCGCGCAGCTGAAACGCTCGATGCTGTTGATCTCATAGACGCGTTGGAAGGGCGAGGTTTCACCGTCGATTTGGCGGTCGATGCGGTCGACGCTCGGGAACCCGAAGGCGTTCGATTAACTACCTTGGGCAGTTCAACGTTCGGTAGTGGAGGTCGCTGCGACGGCGGTGTTGGAAGCTTCCTGCCAGGTGCTTTTGACCCTGTCTTCGTCGGTGTGCGGTTGGATACGGTAGACGTTGCCGAGGCAGTTGAACTTCGTCTGGGACGAAGAGGTTGGGGAGAGCTGGGGGAAGGTTTCTCTCCAGACGTCTTTCGGTTTCTCCCAGCCGTCGTATTACTCTTGGCCGAGACGGCAGAGCTATTAGAGGCGCTCGACAGTGTTCGCTGTCTCGGGGGTCGCTCGGGCTGCGGCGAGAGAGATTGCCGAACCACAGAGGACCGCGCCGAGGGCGTAGGTGTGGCTTCAGACTTGGCGGTCCGGAAGCTCGTAGAAGCAGACGACGTTGGGCGCGATGCTTGACCCGATGGGACATTCAAAGCCCCATTGGCTTTCCGGATAGTCGACGTGGTCGAGCGAACGGATGTGACCGACGGCGCCAGCGACTTCGGTCTTCCCGCAGGCGAAGAGGTTGAAGGCTCCACTTGAGGCAAGGGACTCTTTGGGCTCTTCGGAGTTCCGGGGGGAGTGGATCGGGTGTACGAAGTCATCGAAGCCGAATCGGACTGATCCTTGTCTGGCTCCGGAGCAGATGGCACGACAACGGGTTCGCTACGAGGTATGTTGAACTGTGACGCATTCGAAGGTTGTGAGACGGTGGACTGAACGCGGGAGGAAAGAATAGGCTTGAGCCGAGCGGCAGGTTGGTTGCGAGAAGTAGCGGAAGGAGCAGGTGGAGGAGCAGAGTTGGCGACAGTCCGTCGAGGACCGGGACGGCCGGTGGTTGCGGTGGAGTGCACGGAGCCTCGAGAGATGGAATGAACCGAAGGAGTGGGCTCCTTGCCGATGCGGCTTTTTGAGCCAGTATGGAAGGATGAGATACTTGCTGAATCCGAGTCCCCATAGATCCTGTGTGGACCTGTTGTGGTTAAACCTGAGCGCGACGGGCTTGGACCAGAGCCAGACGCAGGACGAGGAGCCAGAAGAGCTTCGACGGGAACATCGATCTCTAGAGGGTGTTGTCAGCCATGAGCCCTTCGCGAGGATGACGTTGCATAACTCACCGTCGCTGATCTCTTTTACGGCCCATCCATCCATCTCCTCGAAACCACCAGCAGCGTGAACAAACTGCCAACGATTTTTCCTGCCTATCCATCGAGCAATCTCAAGCCGAGCCCGTTCAACAGACGCTCGGACAACAGAAGTCATTGGTAGGACGGTGTGGCCGGTGGTAGGATCCGCCCGAAGGAGAATTGCAGAAACCACAGTCTGAGGCAGCGGGAGTCAGTCATTTGCCCGCGGAGTAAAAGATCAAACAACATACTTGATAGACCATTCCCGCGTTCTTGTCATTAAGCCCACGAATCAACGAGTCCATGACCCAACCAACTTTCTCGTTGTCCGAGAACTGAGCCCCATCCCGCTCCAATATCGACAGCCATTCCTCCTGTTCAAAGACTTCTTCTGCATTGCCGCACATGGTGTCGTCGATTCTTTTGCGGACAGTATGCACCATCTCGCGGACTTCCTCCGCCCACGCCTCCGAGTTATTCTCAAGTTTGGTCAACGCAGCCTGAGCAGCGAAGAGCAGTGGAATGACGTTCATCGGGTTCGTCCGAAGGCTAACGCCTTTCACCAAGTTCGACCGTGTCTTGGGAGGAAGGTTGGCAAAGTCGGCCTGACACCAGCCCTCACCAAACATCCCCGAGAGCGCTCGTTGAGCACCACGGGTCAAGATGGGGTCGTTGACATCGGGTGACATAGCAAACTCGAGAACACGGGGTGCACGTCGCTGGCACTGCTTGCACTTGCATCCTCCAACGCCCCATCGGCCCGCGGTAATCTTCTCATACTGGTCGAAAGGAAGGAAGGCATGGAAAAGTCCATGAACCATTTCTTCGACTATTCGTGCTTGAATTTCTCGATGAAGGGAATCCAACTGGAGGTACATGGCCGCGCGGTAGATATGGAAAGCCGTGGTCAGGTCGAATGTGCGATGGGAGAAGGATAGGGTTCCCGTATAGATAAATCCAAGGGTGAAGTGGACGGAGGCGGGGGTGAACGGCGGGGAAGGGAGCTTGATTTCGTTTTCGTCCGTGCTTGGTAAAGCGAAGCTGGTGGACTGCAGCCGTTCGCGAAAGTATTGCGAACGCGAGACGAGGATGAACCGATGGCTGGAGAATGCGGCCATTGAAACATCGTTCGGGGAATAGGATTCCCTCCCAGAAGGGAAGTTGCCTTCCAATACGACGCGAATGTCCGAGTACAGCCTCGATCTCCACATGTATATTAGATCGTTGCGCAACTTGTCCACCCTTGCAGCTTCGTCGTCATCGGCCCGCTTATCCGCAGAGTCGAAGAGGAACTCGAAGGCGTCGCTGAGTCCTTTGCCCGTGTATAGATATTCGAGTTCATTGGTAAATAGTGCGGGCGCAATGTTGGTGGATATTCGGAGCACCTGACCGGTGGTGCTGGAAGGTGCCGGAGACATGACGCGACGGCTGGCGAATGGTGACGGAGACCGTGAGCCCGGTGTCATATCTTCGATAGGCAGAGAGAGTGAGTAGGTTGATTGGGCATTTGGTATGGGTGATGCGCCGTAGGGATTCGGAGTCGGTGCTGGCCGGAATTTGAAGTAGCGTGCTTGAAAGGACGGAGGTGCTCGAGCATACACGATGGCTGAAAATGACTATTCAGAACGCGATACAGGCTACTATAACGATTGTCCCGACCTTTGTGTCCCCAAACTTCATCAGAGTCGTCATCGTCCCCGAGCTCCCAAACGACATCGGCGAATCGCTCCTTGGCCTTTTCGAACAGCGCCTGAAGGTGGTCCCTCCATTCCTTTGTCGAAGAGT